CACAAACCAGGGGGTAAAATTCCGGCCGCGAACTTTTGAGTTTCGCGACATCAGCTCGATGGATTAAACGCTGAATTAAACATATATTTTCACGGTTGTGAATTTAATCAGAACACATCAAATTATAAAAACCTAGAGTGTACGCCCCGGAATTTTACCCCCGGATTTTTACCCCCCGGAATTTTACCCCCTGGATTTTTACCCCCGGAATTTTACCCCCTGGCCAGATCTATAAATTAGAGAGAATGATTAATTATCTTCATTCTGTTTTAATTTTATAGTAAATATTTTATTATTAAGTAGCCAATTGTATATTAATTTATTTGTAACATTAACTAATCGAACAAGTTTTTAATTTTAATTTTGAGATTCTAGTATTAGGATTCGATTTTTGAAGCCAACAGTTGGTTAATATAACGTATAAACAATCAACTTAATGATAATTGTTTCGAACATTTCATTACAAAATAAATAGATAAAGATAGGCTACTAAATAATGAAATGTTTACAATTAATTAAAAACAGAAATAAGAAAATCAATCATTAAATTTCTAAAATCAGCAGGGCGTAAAATTCCGGGGGGGTAAAAATCCGGGGGTAAAATTCCGTGGGGTAAAAATCCGGGGGGAAATTCCGGGGGTAAAAATCCCGGGGTAAAAATCCGGCCCGTATATCTTTTGTTGTCTAAATGCTAGTTATATGGGCAGGGGGTAAAAATCCGGTTTTATCGCTAATCTAATTAATCACGCTCTGGCTATTTTCATTAGACTTCCAAATCCGCGGGGTTAAAATTCCGGCCGCGAACAAACTTTTGGCTACTCAGGTTCCCACGTCATAGTGACGTCAGCTTTGCCCAGGGGGTAAAATTCCAGGGGGATAAAATTCTGGCGACCCATCCAAAGTTGGGAAGTCAGAATTGCAAGCCAAGGTCGGTGTGATTGATTGAAACAGTAATTGTTAAGTAATTTGTCACCTGTAGCATTCCTAGAACAAAAAACTGTAATTTGTTTTCACTTAACAAAGTTCAAATTCCAATTCATAAGGCACCGGGAATGGGATTTGTATTTACATTTTTTAGAATCCATAGACAACTTGAGGTTTTTGGCCAACTATTATACGAGGTGCATACATACATATGTACCAAAAAAAAATTTAAAATGTTAAGGGATGGACAAGTCTCGAAATTTCAGGAAATTTTAAATCTCGTTCTACGACACGAGATATTTTATCGAGAAAAAAAATCAAAACGCCTGCAAAAACCTAATACAATACCCGCAATACAGGAGCGCGTTGTTGTTGCGTTTCCTTTACGAAGGCGTTCTTATTCAATTAATTCCTTACATGTAAATATTACTTTAATTATTTTATCATTTGAGAAGTTTTGTTAAGTGTACGCAGTGTGAGGCATGTTTTCCTACTGTAAACATAGCCAAAACAAGTAAGTATTTTATACAAATTAATATTGCTTTTATTTTATGATTTATTTTATTTTAGGATAAGTTTAACCTCTATCCTAATATAACTAATATCACCATGTTTCCTCATCGTAAGTGTTATTTTTAATAAGTTAGGCGTAATTAATATATATTTTTTATGTTGATGTTTTTTAATAAAAGATTTTAAATACTCTTGCCAATTAATATTTGTTTTTTATTTAAACAGTCATCTAGCAATGCTACAATCAGGTAAAAATGTCCAACGTGCATTTCCCGTTATGTATGAGAAGGGAAATCCTGTCTCGATCTCGTCTCAAAATTTTATGAGAACTACAAAATCTCTTCTCGTCTCAAACTAAAAATCCAATCTCATCCATCCCTACAAATGTTTAGTTTCACATTGTAGTTTGAAAACTATTTAATATTACAATTAACTTTTCAGAGACAGAATATGAGTGCTACCATTGGTGCTACACACTATTTCTTTGGGATGAATAATTACTCTATTTTGTTTGCAGTGCTTTATTCATTATTTGTGCTTGGATCACATTTAGAGTAGCATCTATTGAATCAGTAAGACATCATTTCAAACTTTGTTTAATACAAACTGCCCCTCAAGTCTAGTTTACTGAAAGCATTTGTTAAGGATATAGTGGATAGCGTTTTTACCATCATAACTAATTACATCTTACACATTTTATTTTAAGGGGATCCAGGCTTCAGAAAGTGAAAAAATGGCCAAAATTCACTTCTTTTTTTTATAGTATTTTATTGTTATTTGGTTATTTATGTACAAGAAAATATAAGTTTTATAGGTATCCTACACGTTTTTCATAACAAAAAATGTATTTTCCCCAGATACTACATGCGCGCGTCTTAGTATTTTCTAGGACTTCGATCGCGATTCCCCGAAAGTTGTGGTTTTTAGTGTTTTGTAACAGAAAAGTTAATATATCTCAGCCAATTTTTGCCCTATCATGTTGAAATTTTTACCAGATGTTCTTGATAGTATTTACAAACATTTTGGGTATAATTATTAATATAAGTCAAATAGTTAAAAAAATATATTTTTTTATATTTGAAATATAGTCTAAGAATTTTTTTTTGTTTTCAACCTTTATAAAATAAAAACTAATCATCCTACAAACAAAGTAATACCCAGGATTTCAGTAAGTGTACATAGCTACAAAAAGATACCTAGTTGAACAAAATTGATCAACTATTTTATGAGTTATATCAAAAATAAAAATGTGTTACGTTATGATACATAAAAATACATAAAATGGTACTGTGGTACATAGAGTGGCTACAACAAATAAAATACCCCCGTCGCAGCAAACCTGCATACTAAGCGAATTTCCATTTACCCGGCTTGATTTCTACTAAAATATTCCCTATAAATTTTCAGATTTATTTCCATTTTTAAATAACATTAATTTTAGTGAGTAGTTAGGTTTGCTGCTACGGGGAAGATGTTGAGGTGTGTTTTTTCAATTGAAATATTGATAGCTTAGTATGAAATAAACCAAATTGCCAAATTTGATTAAAATATATCCATAAACAAGCAAACTAGAACAGTTTATTTATTCTCCATAAGAATAACATGGGAATTTTAAATTTACAATTTTTTTTATTTTCTCCGTAGTCAATGAACATTCAAAAACACTTCAATATACTAAATTATTTGTTTTTTAAGCTCTTCAAAATGGTCTAGAGAAAAATTTAGAAATTTAAAGTTTTTAGGGTCAAAAATGAGAAAAACCCATTTTTACCCCATAAAACCTCCCATAAACCCCTGATCCCATGGTCCGATTATGCTGGTTCCCGAAATCGTTCGAATAAATGTAGGTTTACACGTTTGTACCGAATTTCATCAAAATCGGATCAATTTTGCTCGAGTTATCGCGCTAACGGACACATATATAAATATATATATATATGAATTTGAACGGATGGTATTTTTGGTCTCTGGGGACCTTACCATGAGACCTACGGTAATAGCTTATTCCCTATATGGGAAATTCGCTAATAACAGTTTTTAGGCCCATTTGATATAATAAATATCTTTAAAAAACGATAAACATAAAAAATTAAAAAATGTATGTTCTAAAGCCTGGATCCCCTTAATTCAATTGTGACTTGCCTTTAAGGTGGATTGTTTCAAAGGATGGAAAAAAATTATTTTTTAGACCAAGATTCAACCAAACCTTATTTACATTTATATTTAAGGAAACACTATTCGATATTTACTGAATCCAACAATTATTCGAAGGTGAGTCAGACCAAAAAGTGAAAATACCAGCAAAAAATTGCATGGTGGTTAGTTTCAGAGTTTCTTAGCATAAATTGAACCACGCTATGAAGATAAAATTTATTTCTTTGTACCCAGAAACTCATAAAAACATAAAAACCGCGCAAATTACAGGAGTAACATTTCCTTAAAGCTCATTCTCTTTAGCAGTGAATAGGGAATATTGCGTGGGATGGCTATTGATCTGAAGAGACAAGTTAATTGATATTCCTTTATTAAACCTGAGGATAATAGCATTCCACAATAAGCGCTCCAGCCTGACCTCCTATTATCAGCAGTATTGGTCTCTTCTGGAACTTCAATCATCTTCCAGAAAGCATTTAGTTATTAATAAAACTTTTATACTTATTAGTAGAAATTATGAATCAGTACAGATCACCTTTGTACTGTACCGGCTCACTCCTTACTTTGCTGTATACGATCCACGCACAGGCGGTTAGTCTATGTGGCAAATGAAAGGTTAAGAGGCCGCCAACCTCTTTTAATAAAATATAAAAAAAAACAATTTAGCCTGTTCCCACCTTTTCTCATAATTTTTCCACATGCCACCCTGTTAGAGAATTTATGAAAGAGGCTGCTTGAATACCAAAGGTGTTTGATTTTATTCAAGTATTGACTTTTATAATATTATTATTTTACAGATATTTTAATTTTTTCCTTACTGTAGATAAAAAATTAAAAAAGCTAACAATACGGTAGATAACAATAACAAAATGCTCCTAATGTGCATTTTTTTACATTTTTTAGAAAATATAATATCTCCCATGAAATCTTTTTGAAATATTAAAAAAATAATCTAGTAATTGCTTCTTTTTGGACACACTGGATCTTTCACAAATTTTATACATTTATTTTATTATTTTATAAACAGCTTTTTGTATAAAATCACACATGTATGTAAGTTTCTACTAGTAATCCTTAGTACTCATTAAAACATTAAATTATTTATGTCAAGAGTAAGATGTTTAGGTTTTAACCTATATAAATACAAATCAATTACAACTTTTTAAAATTCATTTTAAAATTTGCTTAGTATGCACTATGCAGGTCTGCTGCAAATGGGATAGCTATGCATTCAATAAATTCCAATATGTATGCCAATGTGATTCTCATTTTCAAGGCCTTTAAAATTGTTTGTTTTGCCTTCAGATTCAGTTTTGCTTTTGCTTGACTGGTGAAACCATTGCAAGATGTCAAAGGTCAAAGGTCAACAATCTGTTGAGGAAAAGACCAGAATTGGAGATTCCGTTTGTATCTCTGTAACTGTTTACCACTTAGTCGCTTCAAGTCACTTGGCCACTTCAGATATAGCCTGTTCCTGTTATTGGGACTTAGCACAAAGTGAGGTTAGTTTTAGAGTAAAGTACACATCTATACAAATAATATTTTATTTTGAGGACTATTTTACTAAATCTGTGTTTGTTCTAAAGTAAATGTACAAAAAATTATATTTTTATGTCCTTGTAGGAATGCAAATCCCTAAAATGTTAGTTACAGTTTATTAAATACTAGCAGAGTACCTGTCCTTCAGGGATTGGCATATAAGTATAAAATGCTTATTGCAGTTATACTCAAGCTTTGCGTTTGCAATGGGGGAGGACACGATTTGATAAAATTTGCTTCTTTAAATTTACGGTATACTATAGTATTAAACATCTACCATAGCCATAATATTCTACCACTTCACCTAAGCAATAGAGAAAAATAAATTGTTAAAGATTCACAAAATATCACAAATAATTCGTGAAATTAAAAACATAAAAGTAACTGAAAACAATCATACTTTGACAGTTCTCATTGCATATCATTTTTTTTTTTTTTGTTGCTTAGTTCAAATTAGCTGTTTCCATAAATGCAAAAAAAGTAATAGTGCGCCCTTGGTAAATCTTATAACTTTTAATGCTTTTGCATACCATAGAATCAACTTTTTAAATTGAATCAGCTGACTAAATTCTTTTATTCCCTTTAAATATAAATACTCATAAGGTTAACATGGGGAACCACAGAGCCACTGGGGCGGAGCCCGAAAGGATTTTTGAGATAAGATTATGCCTATATGTTAATCGGGAATATGAGCTAAAATCATGCCAAATTTCAGCCCAATCCGTCCAGTAGTTAATGCGTGATTGAACTTCAAACAAACAAACAAACAAACAAACAATCACACAAACTTTGACATTTAATATTTTAGTAAGATATAGGAATTTGGATTGTTATGGAATTTGAATATAGTTGCTCATAATATTCTTTACCTGTGGAAAGTCAAAATCGTATAGGTATAAAGAAACATTAAAATTATAGAATATGGATTTATAGAAAGTTTTGGTGATTATATCTTACAAGATTTTAAACAAACCCAATACTGTATTAAAGTGTAAATAGCTGATCAAACTTTGTCTTGAAGGTGAGAAGCAAGACCAGCGTTTGATTTTACTACATGTTAAGTTGATTATTTGTATTTAACAATAGAACAGGTAAAATGACCCATAATAGTATTGAATAAGGGCAATGTACTTATGTTCTTCTATTCTCAATTATATTTTGCATTAAAAAACAACAGCTAGTAGATGACAAATTGCAGTGCACACCTATAAGCTATATTTTGTATAGAGAATGTTACAAATTCCCTGATACTGTTGCAATTATTAATGTAATATGTACAAAACTAATAATAGAACATATAATCAATTGTATATCTTCATGTCATGTATGTCTAGTTTCAATTGCCTTATTTTCCTCATTGACATGATAGTCGATATTAGTGTTTTCCTCCACGAGGAAATATTTGCTGTTTTGTTTTCTTATACTGTTGATGCTGACCTTACAGATAGCTGTTGTTATTTTACAGAGCTTAAAGCAGAATAACATCAGTTATGGTGTTTATCAAAGTCTGTATCATCCTTCAGTTTGGTTTCACATTGGCTCAATATGAAGATAAGTAAGTATTTTTGAACTCAGTGTGTCTATTATGTGTATATAATAATTTACACAGGATTTTATATGATGTATAAGTTATATTTAGCAAAGTCATATAGTTTGTGAATTACATCCATAAAAACTATCATTGACTTTAGATAGTGAATTACTTTTCTATTACAAAATGTTAGCTATAGGTACTGATTCATATCAAAATGAAAGTTGCTATTTTTGACTAATATATTTTCTTTTTATGAAATCACTTTTACAGTGTGTGGTTAAATTTGTATAATAGAAAATTAACATGACTATAAAGATGACAAAATCTAAACTTAGAGAAGTATGTGATTTTTTTGTTTGTATATCTCAAAAACCAATATACCGTGTAATTTCTTTCCAAGCTCACTGTAATTTCCCATAATACATATTTAACATAATACATATATACATTGTATATGTGCAATCGTTAGATAGTAACATCTGACAAAAATGTGATGCGGTACAAGTTGTACGATCAAGCCAAATTGAAATAGCAAGTGATTTCTTGTACAAAATTGACTGAACGGAAGGTCCGATAACACAGAATATTGAGTACCGGTAACCAAAGAGATTGTACTGTATAGTCGAGACTCTATTGTAAAACAGGGCCGCTTTTATGAATGAGCCCGGAGGTCCCAGGCTCAGAAGCGCAAGATGTTTTAGGTTTCTTGGGGTGTAAGGAAAAGAAAATTTTTAACCTGAATGTAGTTGGAGACGTGCGCAACTGTCGCTTGAGCCAATAGCACATGCAAACTACGGACCTGGTGAAAAAAACTTTTATTAAAATTCAAATTTGTTTAACTGTAAAAATCACTGTCACCAATTAAGTTACTAAACCTAGTCTAATATTGTTTTCACAGTCTCCAGTCCTGCGTTTCAGACCCTGCGCTGTTGGAAGGAACCTGCTCAGCGCAGTACACAGACCCAGCTGCTCAGTTGACGCAGAATCTGTTTAGCACACTGGCCCAGGCTGACTGTGACCTAGCCAACCCCTGCGACTACCCTCCTCAATACAACCCTACGCCTGGGGAGGAGTTTGACTTCATCATCGTAGGTGCAGGCTCCGCAGGGTCTGTGCTGGCTAACCGCCTCTCGGAAATAGCTGCTTGGAAGGTAGATTACATCATTTGAATGCCAATCCGATGGACTTAATTCCTCTTACGGACGAAAGCCTCTTTCCAAACTAAAATAAATGTGTCACATACTTTCTCCCATTGGCTTGTCAACAAACTTTATCGTGGCTAAGCAGTGGGGGTGACTGTAATGTTTTAAAAGGAAAATCTCAAAAGTTGGAATTCTGTATCCATTTGTTTAGAATTATAAGGACCATAACGGCATAACATACTAAATTTAATCCAAATTGGTCAAGCCTTCTTTTCAAAGATCCAATTTTTCCGTTATTACAAGCGTTCAATAAGTAACGAGACAAATTATTGCTCAAAAATAATTTATTGAATCAGTACAAAACTTTGGTTACCGTACTTTAGGCAGCTTACCGCACACAAGAGACTTTTTGTTGGACGACTTTCGGCCGACTGTCTGGCTGGAGTCGGGTGGACAATCAAAAGTCGTAAAGACTGTTTGGTCGTTGACTGTGGCTGTTTTGCTGTTTAGTCGTCTTTAGAGTGTTAAAAGGATGTATGTGACAGAAACCTCTATCATATGTGTGAAGATTTCGTTCATGAAAATGTAAAATAAAAAACTGGGTGCATCCAATTTATAGTCCGAGAACCTTAAAAGGCCAGATTTACCTCTTATACTCGGATTTGAGGATATATCTGGACAAATATTTCATGTACTCACGAATGAGTGTTGATAGTTGTATATTGTGTCCTCGAATACTACTTCAAAGACTTTATAAAGAGGGGCCTCCTCTCCAATAATAAGTTTATCAACTTTTTCGTCTCGCAAAACACTTGACTGTCAGGGGTTTTACAGGAAAGTCACATAATTTTGAACATAAGTTTTAAACCGTAATGTTTACAGCAATGGGGGTTGTGCGGTCTTGATAAGATTCATAAAAGAACTATAACATACTAAATGTGAATAAAAATCGGACCACAGGTGTAGTCTGTATCTTCACACATGTGCGGTTGCACGTGTGTTCTAAACATATTATAAATGACGAGTATTTGTTTAGCTTTGCAAATTTCCAACCGTAAAGGTGAGTGAGCATAGCGAACGAACTTCAACCAGGACGTGTGAGCGCAGCGAACGAGCTCCAGCCTAAAGGTGAGTGAGCGTAGCGAACGAACTTCAACCAGGACGTGATTGAGCCATGCGAACGAGCCCACATATGAAGTTAAACGGGGCAAAGCCCGCGGGTACAGCTAGTACAGTATAATATAACACAAGGTACACTGTTAGTTCTCATATAATAATACTAATAAGTGAAATATCAATGTATAAGAAGTTTGAGATTAGATTAAAAGATTCCTAATGTAACTTTGTCGCTGACCTAATTATGTTTCTTTGTCCGGGACTATAAGTCCAATGATTAGTCCAATGACAGGTGGGTCCAGTTTTGAACAGTGAAAAATCTATTGACTTTTCAATTCAAACAGATCCCTTCTGATTGTTAGGTGAGCTATTTAATCAAAAACTCACTTACCCAGCTAGTTTTGCCTCTTTTCCTCATGCATATTACTGTGACGTTGACATATTAAAGACAATTTTTAATTCAACAGGTTTTGGTATTGGAGGCAGGTGGAGATCCTACCAAGACTTCAGAAGTACCTAGCATGGCTCTGTTACTACAACAAACCGATATAGACTGGCAATTCAAAACTGACCCCGAAGAACCAACCTGCCTCGGAATGGAAGGAAATATATGTAACTGGCCTCGTGGGAAGGTCCTGGGGGGTTCAAGTACGATAAACGCTATGTTGTACACCAGAGGAAGTCCAAGTGTTTACGATCTCTGGGAAGCTGAAAGCAATCCTGGATGGGGCTATAGAGATGTACTTCCTTACTTCAAGAAGTCAGAAGACATGAGAGCCGACGACGTACAAAACACAACTGAGTTTTTCCAGTATCATGGTACAGGTGGCCCATTAAAAGTTGAAAACTTCAACCGGGCTTTTGTTCGTCCTTTAGCTTCACTTTTGGCTGACGGTTGGGCAGAAATGGGATACCCGTTCAATCCCGACTGCAACGGAAGATTCCAAGCTGGGTTCGCTACTATTCAAGGAACACTGGAGGACGGTAGACGATGTAACACGGCTAAGGCTTTCTTATCTCAAATCAAAAGCAGGCGAAATTTGAAAGTATCAAAGTTTTCTTTGGTTACTCGAATACTGATCAATAAATCTACAAAGACCGCCTACGGTGTAGAGTTTATAAACAGAAAGGGGGAAACTGTACGAGTTATTGCTCGGAAAGAAGTTATTCTGTCCGCTGGAAGCATTAAGACTCCTCAGTTGTTGATGTTGTCTGGGGTTGGACCCAGGGATAATCTGAGGGAAGTGGGAATCGATGTCATCGCTGATTTGCCAGTTGGTGAAAATCTCCAGGACCATGCGATTTCCCCAGCTATAATGTTGACTCTAGACTACTCCGTGCCTCCAACCAACCAAACAAAGGATATGTTCGACTTCCTCATGAAGCAAGATAGTATTCTATCCAGTAGAGGAGTAAGTAGTTACAACACTTTTGTGGAAACTGAAAACAGAGCAGGAGACAACCCCGATTTCCAATTTTACTTTAGTTTCTTTGGAAAAAACTCGTCAACAGCTTTACAAAGACTTTTGACAAACTTCAACTATAGAAATTACATAAAAAACCAATACCTACAACTTAACTCTGAGTCTGCCATAATTGTTCCGTTTTTAGCGTTGTTGAAACCCAAAAGTAGAGGGAGGGTAAAGCTAATTAGCAGAAATCCCATGGAGCAACCGAAAATAATTTCCGGCTATCTCTCAGATCCACGAGACGTTGAGTCATTTTCCAGAGCATACACCATCATGCAGAAATTTTCAGAAACTCGACCATTGAGGAGCAAGGGGGTAAGGTATAGTGAAGTTAAGATAGATAGTTGCTCAAAGTACACTGCCAACTCAAGGCCTTTCAGGGACTGTCTTCTGAGATACACTACTGTATCCATCAACCACCAAGTAGGAACATGTAAAATGGGTCCTCCGAACCGAGCGGACTCGGTAGTCGATGCACATTTGAGAGTGAAGGGTATTAATAGACTGAGAGTAATCGATGCATCGATTATGCCAATCATCCCAACAGGAACCACCAACGCTCCGACAATCATGATCGGAGAAAAAGGTTCAGATCTGATCAAACAGACTTGGCTCAGTTACGAAACTGGTCATATGTAACCTAACACATAGGAGTAGGCCTATATCATGGATGTTTGGTAAACACTGTATATATATATAGTTAGAATATTTTTGTCCAAATGAAACATTTTTTACCTAATCTCTCAACACTTTTAGTGGTGTAGTGTTTTATGATTGAATATACACTTTAACCATTGTTTCTTCATCCTTTTTCATAATTATAGATGTTTACGTACTTTAAACTCAGGCTCTCTGTGTGTTTTGAGTAATGAAAACAACAATGCTAGGTAGATTATAATGTTGTAAATGGATGTTTATCACATTGAGATATTCATTATTCAGTTTAAATCATGCTTGCCTATTTGACAAGTTCCCTCTCATATTATAGCTGCAAAATAACAAATTCTATTAATGTTCTTTTGGCACATAGACAGAAAGGATAAGCAAAAAGTCTACTTTGAGGTGCAGCTTACAATAAATCCACCCATCCAACTTCTGGTGAGCTTTACTAATCTAAGGTGGATCTCTTCCACCAATTCTGTCACAGACAGGTGGAATCCTCATAAGTGGTACCACAGAGAAGTAAGATACAGAGGATACATTCAATGGTACACTTAAGTCGTGTCTAGCAACAGTCGCTTGTTTCTATAGTGCAAATCCTATTGGCCGTCCCTTTCCGCTCTCCTTTTCCCTCCTCACCATTATGTGCTGCGCTTACGCTGGAGGAAGAACCTGTGCGCTACAACTGCTCTTGTAAACAATAGCTGTTCGGGCTCTTTCTTGCTTGGTACTAGTATATATCCCGAGCTAAAAGCACACGGTTGTTCCATAAGCAAGTTTCCTCTGCAGTGGCACCCTAGACTTGACTGACTTCAGTCTACAGTACTGTTCCTGGCCAGGAAAACAATACCTTTGACCAGTTGATCTTACCTTAAAGCGAATCTTCATATTTTGTAACATTTTAAGTGGTAAATCAGCCCTTTTGTACGGAATGTTAATACTCAACATGATGCTTGATGTTTTTTATTGTTACCTAATTTTGGATCATGGAAATAAAACATGATGAAACAAAATCATGAAGCACTATAAAGCCTCGTCTCCAACAACCGAACATGTCCGCTGAACACTGTTCGCGAACATAACAAACGGACAAACATTCCACATTCCACTGTTAGTCTGACAGACATATTCAGTAGCCCACGGACTGTTCGCTTATAAGAGATCCGGACATTTTGATTAGGGTGTGATCTTGTTTAGTGATGAGTACATATACACAGCCTCGTTGTTATTTAGCTTGCATAGCAGCTGCTTATTTGCTCGTGTCCACTCGTCGACCTCCTGGTTGGTGGCAGAGACAACTGTTTAGGAAGAAATGAGTGCAGTGGCCATTTTTGTGCAGAACTGACAGCGAGTTGCTTATCCAGGAATTTTGCAAGGGTGTGTAATGAATGAGGATTTTGAATGACTTAAATTACTGATTGGTCCAACAATTTGGAAACAAGTTACTAATTATCGCAATGCTTTAATTAACTATTACTGTAATTAACCAAAACTGATTTGACAATCAATCAAAAACTAATACAAAACACTATGACTTAAACAAACTTGAGCAAATGCCATACTTGGATGGCAATACACTAGAGAAACTATGAAAAATGCTACTAGCTGCAGGAGGAGAAACGTGATTTTGACTAAAATATTCAGTCTAGGAGCGAACTTTTACAGCCAACATCCGGTTCCCACCACAAAGCTCAGAATGTTCGAAAAGGCATTTCCAACAAACCAACACCGAACAAAGTTCGGCGGAAATACAAAATTTGCATTGAACACTGCTTGACAAACATGTTCGGTTGGTGGAGACACTGCTTAAAATAAAAAATATCAAAACAGTGGCTACAACATCAGGGGACATATGCTAAGTAGTGGCTTTAGGTTTTTGTTTAATAATTATAATACTTAAATAAAATTCCATACTGTGAGGATCGCCGGAAGCCAGGTTTTAACTTCTAGAATGTCTGAATGATCCTCCCAAATATTATACTACTTTTAGATTATTATCATATGACTTCCTAGCAGCGAGACCTCCTAAACATAGAAAGCTATACCAGTTAAAATAGATTAATAAGTTATATTGAGTTTTGAACAAGAATTATGGGGATTATTAGGAGGTTTATATCCCAAAATTGTATTTATGGCATTTTTAAGCAAACTGTTTTCAAATAAAATGTTGTAAAAATGTTTCATTGGTTTCAGTTTGGAAAAAACAATATTTTTGGTAGTGAATTTTATTTTGTTACATATTACACCTATTAATTACCGAGTATTCAAAGAGTTAAAAACATTTTGTTGTCTCCCATTATGGTCTCCTTGGGGGAAACATAGATTTCTTATATTCATAGAATATAGCACACACAAGTGTTTCCTTTTACTCTAAGAACTGACCGAAGTATTCTTTGAGCAAAACTGTTTTATACTACTTGTGGGTCTAAATGTAGATTTATTTTTATGAGCTTGGTTGGATAAAATGTAATAAAACAACTGCAAGTGTGCATAGTATGCAGGTTTTGTCTGTATTTTGTTGTCAGTTCTAGTGCACTAAAATGAGAGCCTACAACTCAGTAAACGCAACCCGAACACAGGAGTGTTCGGTTATTGCATTGAACATATGAAGGTTTGTAAATTAATCAAAGCTGTAATACTTGCAGCTGAATTGTCTTCTCAAATGTGTTACCAAGTCTTAATTTAAAAATATCTGAACGGTAAACTATAAATGAAAATTGCCGAACTAATATAAATTCAAACTAGTTAGTTCCTGTCCCTTATTACGTTTTGATTGTATTGTGCTGTTAATGCAGACCTGTAAAATTTATCGAGTATGGTCTTTCTTGGCTGGGAGTCGTGACATATATTTCGTGTACAGTAGAGTAGAAAATAGTGTTTTTTCTTCACTTTTAAACTCAGTTCAATTTTTGTAATCATAAAACAGTTGTTCAGTAAACCAACTTTTTGCCATGGATGTTGGGAAAGGGTGGACTCTACTAGTATGTCCTGACCTCTTCTGCCTCTTGGGTCTCTTATGCCTGATTTATGGGAAAAGGCACACATGTCAGGTTCTTGTTCTGCCAGGTTAATTCCCTTACGAAATTTAATTAAAACTGTTATTTTCTGTATATTACATGCATAAAGGTTGACGATCTCTTAACTAACAACAACAACAACTCCATTGGCTGCATTTGCATATGACGAATTAAAAAAATGGCGTCCCTCTAAAAATAAACTCTGTGGGTGTATTTCTGTCTATGCAATCTAAGAGCACATCTTGAGCTCGTCATGAACTTCTACACTGGATCGGTCGCATGCAAGTTTGAACCAATTTGCCCACTGTGCGTGACGATTCTCGAATCAGCTGATTGTTGGTTTCCTGGGCCCAGCTGTCAGGACTCGTCACAATGACGTTTTAACCACCCTAGACTTGAACAGGTCGCGTGATGTCCTAGGGGCATCCAAGGGGCGGTACACGAGTGTTAGGAGAGGATTAGGGGACGAATCGTGAAGCAGAGTGTTCCACGAGACCATAAGGTACTTTCAGAACTCAAAATATTGTACATGGTGTTTAGAAAAGTAGCCTACTTCACAACTTTATCAGCTAGGTATTTTCAAGAACAGGGATGCTACTATTTTACCCTATGCAAAATAGCATAACTTATCCTAACCTAATTAGCATAGAGTGAATCTAAATAGTAGTGGCCATCTTCTTGAAAAGATCACAAACCACTTGAATATTTGTTCCTATAAGATGGTCCACAAAGTGGTAAGTAAAGTGGTGGCAAATGGCACAAATGCTAGAGTGGTGGCAAATATCACTAGTGGCAAATAACACATATTCGTAAAGCCTAGGTCCCTTCTACTTTGGGCTTACTTTATTCTGAAATGACGACCATATGAATGTTGTATATAGTCTAGGTTTCTACTCATGTGCATGTTCCAATAGTCCAACAGCTAGCTTGTATTATAACATTGCCAAAAAGAGTATCTATATGGGCAATCCTGTTTCTTTAAAATATTTGTTCTCAGCTCATGTGCATCGCAGGGAAAATCTACGCATACTGTTAGAATGTTATTTCAATTAAAATAGGCTCAAAAACAAACACAAAAAAAATAAATTTAAAATATACAAAATTAACATAGGCCTTATGGGTTGCCATGCTGGTGACGAAATAACAACGAAATATAAACTGAAAATCAAAACAAATTGAAAAATTCCAATAACATGTTTTATTTACTGTACAGCGTGGGGTGAAAATAGATACATATGCACATTACATAGTTTTGGTAGAGTTTTCGACCACTGGACGGCCTCTAATTTATTTTAAATCATCGCAATTAATTGATTAAAAGAACTATTTGAAAGGATTTATTATGTTTATCATTTATTTATTGTTATATCTCACACTTTAACAGTATTTGTAAAGGAAAAATATTTATAAACTTTTGAATTTCCTATTATCCTCTGGTGCTATAACCAAAAAGTAAAGAGCAAACTATAAATTTTCGTTTATTTGTTGGTAGACAAATATTCTAACAAATGAAAATATATTTGTAGGATATTGCTTACCCTCTTACTACCAAATAATGCTGCACAAATCGTAAAATCTTCGCTAAAACAAATAAAATATGAACGTGAAAATAAACGTGAAACACGCATTTACCAGCTTCAGATCATAATTGGATGAGAAGGTTACTGACACTGTTCAAAGGCAAATAGTTATATTGTTTTGTTCTCTGATCCTGAAAAAATAAGTATTCTACAGCAACTCTGGGGATTTAGCCTTAAGGCAACCAGTTGCGACCGCCTTGGTCGTCCTCGTCAAGCCCTTTGACTGTTGACTGTCATTTTCAACTCAATTATGTAAAAAGTATGAAATAGTTATTTGTGTAACTAGTGTGCGAAGTGTGGAAAGTTTCTCGAGTGCAGCAAAGGCAATTTGCACTCGCGTTACACTATGCTACCTACAGTTACTATAAAGCATATAAATATAATTAGTCTTTCACACACTACTCCACACATTTTTATGTAAGGTTGGATCCAAGCATTGAACGAAATGGGAAACGCTGCACCAGCTGATCGTAGTTGTAGTATCAAGTGTTGCCAACTTATTTTCAAGCGTACATGGATTGTGTGCCTAATAAAAGCACGCTGTTTTGTGTTGTTTGGTTGGAATATTCGAGTGTGGCGAGTAAGTAAATTAAGCAATTAATTAGCTAGTTAGCGTAAATCAGTGAAAGGAAGGCCACTTTGTCAGGTAACTATAGGAAAACTACTTTTTTCGACAATTTAATAGCTTGAAAATAACGACAATTGGTGTGCACAATTATGCATCCATTAATAATTATGCCACAGAGAAGGTGGTTTAATTGGTCCAATTGCCCTGACCTACGCTCGGCGTCTAGCCTATAGACCTCTCGGCACGGTCCAGTTAGGACTTAGCCTACTGTAACGTCGCCATCCAATTAGTAAACCTAATCAGTGGTAATTACGCAATTACACTGTCCTATAGCGAAAATAATTGGTGCCCAGACAAATCGTTAAAATAGTCAGTCAAACGGAGCGGCGCAGGTCTCGCGCGATTGTAAAATCAATACAGTAAACCATAAACAAAGTATTAGCAAAGATTCCGGTACAGGTTTTGATTAGTAACTCCATCAAACATCCATTCCACTAAACTCGAGAGACATCGAAGGAGCTGGGAAAGAACAGACGGCAACATACAGTCAAAGAGAATGCTGCAGACACCCAGGGCTAGAGATATACACCTACCGGTGCGATAGCCAGGGCTATATATATATATATATATATATATATATATATATACTTCTAGCCCTGGGCGATAGCGGCAGATGTCCTTGGGCTGAATAGGAAGACCCCGCGGAAGGTGGTTGGCTTCATCAGCGGCCACTGGGTATTCCGCGGACATCAACACAAGATGGGAATTCAAGTTGAAAGCCTCTTATGTAGGAAATTTAGTGAGGAGGAGACCTTTTACGTGATATTTATGTGCCCAGCCCTACAAGGTCTGCGCATGAGATCCCTTGGCCTATCGACTGGAGATCAAAGGGAAGAACGGGTTACCATAGTCAAAATGATCTCATGGTTCACCAAGGACCTGGGATTTGACGGAGAATGAGAACCTGTGATTGAGGGTGCACAATAAGCTGTTCCAGCTGCGATGCAATCCCATGATCACTTGTAAGCCTGGCACCCTGTTAAAAAAATCGAGAGCAATGAAAGTAATAATTGAGTTTTCTTAGTGTAGCAAATAAATAGACGCATTGGTTCATAGCTCCAAATTAACGAAAAACAGGCTATTTCCTAATATCCTAAAGGCCTTTTGTTTTCAAAACAAGTACTTCAATATTTTTGTCATTTTGCACGAGAATACGGGAATTAAAGAAAAATAGCCCCGCCGCATCAATCCTGCAGACTAAGCGAATTTCTAATTATCCTATTGGAATTTTAAAAAATCCTACAATATAAGAAATGTATCCCCGATTTCAATAATTTAGGTTTATAATGAGTACCTAGGTTTGCTGCTTGAAGAAGGGCAATAATTTGTTGTGTAAATGTTATGGTAAAATTTTCATCATACAACCACAGACAAGAAAAATGATATTGTCTATGGAGAAACGCTTCGATATTAGAACATATACGATGGTTGTAATATAAATTGGGTATTTTCATGTTAAAGGCTTTAAAACATTATGACATATATGTATAGACTCGTATACAACTTATATTTTTAAGAATAGAGTTTTGGTCTCTGTGGACATGAAAATTAAAAAGGAAATCGGGGCTCTTTCGTGCCAACTACGGCAATAGTTTCTTCAGTGGAAATCTATAAGATAGTGTTGAAATATTAGAAAATTACTAATACTAACCATCAAATAGTATTTTGAGGAAAAGTCGAGAAATACTACGATTCCTTTAAATTCGATTACATTTTAATCCAAAATGCATTTCACAAGATAAACTTTATCTGGTGAATATTTTAGAACCAGTACTAGACATGTTTATGTTAACTATAGAAGTAAAGCCAGTATTTCTGGACTACCTGTTGTGGTCTTTAACAAAGTATACCAATACCACACGTAGCTTTAGCACCAGGTTTCATTTATTGAAGGTAATTCCATGTGCACTTATATTTAA